CATTGTAGTTTTGATTTGTATTTCCTTAATATCTAGTGAAGTTGAGCATATTTTCCTTCAATAGATGATTGGATAAAGAAGATGTACATATACACAGTGGAATACTACTCCACTTCAGTCACCAGAAAAGATCAAATACTGCCATTTGTGACATCATGAATGCTAAAGGAAATAAGTTAGACAGAAAAAGTTAAAGACCATATGATTTCACTCATTGCTTTTAGATATAAAAATAAATGCAATAAATTAATAAATAAGGTAAACAACCAAACAAAAACTGACAGACACAGACAACAGTATGGTGGTTACCAGAGGGAAGGTGATGGAGGGTAGTAAAGGGTAAGGGGGTCAAATGCATGGAGACCAAAGATGATTTGACTTTGGGTGGTTGGAGCACAATGCAATGTACAGGTGATGTATCATAAAAATTTACACTTGAAACCTATCTTGTTAACCAATGTCATAACAAATTTAATAAAAAAGTGGCATCATCTGATTTATTAAAATAAACAAAAAAACCTTAATATTTACAATGGAGGATTAATCAAAAGGAATAAGAAAGCAAGCAGGAGAAACAACAGGAGGATGTTGCTGAGATCCATGTGAGAAATTTTGTATCCTGATCAAGGAAATGGGGATAAACTATTGGATATTTCTACCTCTATTCCTAAAAAACAGGGTCAGCTGATCAGCTTAATGTCATGATTATTATAATCTGCTCACTAAGTAAAGCCCTATCTTATCTAATAAAAGAGTAGTATGCAAGTTTACTGTCACACCAAGACACAAGATGGCCGCCCCATGTAGCCCAAAATGGCTGCTCCCAGGTGGACAAAAAATGGCCACCACAAGATGGCTGGCAGGGGAGGACAGTTGAGGGTGACCAGGGTGGCAGAAGAGGGCAGGGAGATGAGGCCAGCAGGGAGGGCAGTTAGGAGTGACCGGGCCAGCAGGGGAGAGCAGTTGGGGGAGACCAGACCAGCAAAGGAGGGCAGTTTGGGGGGACCAGGCCTGCAGGGAGGGAGTTGGGGGCAAACAGGCCTGCAGGGAGGACATAGGGGTGACGGGTCTGGCAGGGGAGGGCAGTTATGGGTGACCAGGCTGGCAGGGAAGGGCAGTCAGAGGCAATCAGACCAACTGGGGAGCAGTTAGGCATCAATCAGGCTGGCAGTGGAGTGGTTAGAGGGTGATTAGGCTGGCAGGCAGAAGCAGTTAGGGGCAATCAGGCAGAGGCAGGCAAGTGGTTAGGAGCCAGCAGTCCTGGATTGTGAGAGGGATGTCCTACTACCCACTAGGATTGGACCTAACTGGGCAGTCGGACATCCCTCAAGGGGTCCCATATTGGAGAGGGTGTAGGCTGGGCTGAGGGACACCATTCCCCCATGCATGAATTTCGTGCACCAGGCTTCTAGTACAAAATATAAATTCACTAGGCTCATACACCTAATGATAATATCTCTCACTGACATAGGATTAATTCTTCTCTACCTGATTTATGTTGAACAAGTGAGTTTTTGATTAATTCCTACATTAAATCTTTTACTCTTCCAGAGTGTTAATTTAAAGATATTAATATTCTTAATTACTGCAAAGTTGCATTACTGTCTGTACGTTTTCAAACTGGCTATTTTGATTTATATATAAGCTTTTGATGAGATAGCTAGAATGATCTAATCTTACTGAATCTAATCAACTCTCAGTAAACTATTACTAACCCCACATTGCACTGACCTCAAACAAGTAAATAAGTCCTCTATAAATAGCAAGTAATTTGAGCAATATTTACAAAATATTGTTTGTTTAAGATCATTGGTAGTAACAATTGAGCATATGAAAATAACTTTATCATTACATTGAAATTGATTTACTTCTCTGTAATTTAGGTAATATGCATATTTTTAAAATTGATTTGAGAGAGAGAGAGAAGAAGGGAGGGAGAGGAGAGAGAGAGAGATTAGTTGTTCCACTTATCAATGCTGGTTATTGTATATGCCCCAACTGAAGATCAACTCACAACATATTGGTATTGGGATAATACTTTAATTGAGTTACCCAGACAGGGAATAAGTCTTTATTTTTGAGACAATAGTGGAAATATACCATTAAAAATAGCTCCATGGTAGTGGACATAATACTACACAATAATCCGAAAACACCAAAGTCAAATTTGATATCTTCAACTTGCTGAATACAAGGGGTTATAATTATCACTTAAGTACTTTGTGCTATAATTACTTCTTCTGCAAAAGGAGAACATTAAATATGATGAAAATTAATATCCAAGCCAGCCCTGACGTCCCATATCTTGTAAAATGTGAAATATAATCCATTAGTGCAAGAAAGAAATAATAAAGGACACAAAGAAAAGAGCAGAGATTTGGCCATATCAGAATACAGATTAATTTGTCATGAATGAACTAGTCAGTTAGTCATCACCCATAGAATAGTCTTTCCCCCCAAAACAAATTCATCTACTGGTTCAATCAGGACTATTATTCTCAAAAGAGTAAAATTTACAAGGATACCACAAATATGCATATGCATGGAATTTCATTTCAAACTTACATGGTAGGTGCTATGCTAACTAATGAACATTATTCTCATTGTAATGAAGTCAAATAAACAAGGATGATAGCTTGTCAGAAGTAATTTGAAGAAAATAATCATGGTGTTATGAAAAAATGTGTAACATGGGGATTCCAGTTACCTTCCTGTATTTATATCTAAGAAACTGACTAAATATATCTTTATTTGATAAAGTATAATATTCCTATGCTTTTATTTTAATGAGAAGAAATAGCTAAAATCATCCTGCCTGTTAAGCTATCATATAACTTACTAGTAACTATCCAGATAAATGTAAACATAGACTTTTAAATATCATATCATCCACACATTTGTTTGCTTAAACATTGATTTTTTTTTTGGGCCAGAGGATGAATCTCAGAGGTCATTTAATTCAATTATCTCAATAAATAAATATTTTAAAAATATAAGTAGTAAAAATATTTTTAAAAGTAGACCAATTTTCCAAAAATGCCCAATTACTTAGTGGTGAAATAAGGCAAAAAATTCAAGCCTTCTTGAAATAGAGTAAACTTCACTTATTTTTTTAAATTTATTATCTGTGTGTTTTTTTTAAACAATTAATGCTATTCAAAGAATGGCCAACTAAAAAGCATTTGTACTTCATTAGTTTTCAAAAAACTCACTGAAAAACTGAGTTAACTAAAATTGTATGAACTTTCTCAAGATGCAAATATTCATAGGCAGGATCTTATGGGCTCCTGGAAGTTTGTGATTTAAATAAGAAAACAAAGATGTGAAAAGATGTCTGCCAAAGAGTAAAGAGATGAGGTGTTTTTTGTTTTGTTTTGTTGTTTTGTTTTTTTCATTATTCTCATTGGAGAGGGTTGGAAGGTAATGATTTCTACTCTTCCACTTAAAAAGATTTACAGGTTAATTGATATGTTAACTGCTGTTGGAATCTAATTTAAAAGAAAATAAAGAAAGAGTAAGAAGGCATCTAGTTTAGCTATTGAGAAAGTTATGAGATTAGAATAGGAATCTCAGAATAAATATTTGCTGGAGTTTTGGGGAAAAGTTAAGGTTGAAGAGGTGGGTGAATATTTTGATCCTTGTTGATAGTAATCAACACCACTGTAAAGATCTAACAATAGGTTTTAATTTTTTAAAATTCCATTATTTTGACACACACACACACACACACACACACACACACACACAATTTTCCTTTTCAGTTTTCCAATCCACATCTCCATGTAAATGGTCAAGATGGAGGGGGAGAGGGGAAGAAGAGAGAGCAGATAGAGAGATGGATGACAGAAAAGGTATAACAAATGAATTAGCTGTCCTTGCTTGAACTTACTGGTAAGTTATAGAAAATATGTAAGAAGAAATGGTGGGTAGCTTGTGCCTCTAAGTAGCCATCTCTTTAGATTTCCCGCCTTCATCTCTTTAGAACCTTTATTATGACTGAAGGGAACTCAACTCACTCTAGTCAATGATGCTTCCTGGCCAGAAACTGGCCAGGGTTATGGGAGGATTCTAGAAGCAGCGTGTTCTCCTGCCCGCTGCTGCCCACGCACCTCATTCTCTGCTCTTCCTTAGTCCTTTCCATAGGCTTAAAGCTTACTCTTACATTTCCATGTAAGGTCAATGACATGGGGTGACAGTTACTCAGTTGTACCTTTCCTCATAAGTGAACAATGGATGGCCCCTCCAAAGCGATTCTGCCAACTAACCCACAAAAAGCCCCTGATTCTCCCAGGCTTAGCCCTGAAGCTTCCTTCCCCCAACACACTTCAGTCGCCCTTTAGGCTCTGCATCAGTTTTACTCGCTGCTTTTTTTTTTTTTAAAAAGGATAAAGTGCTAAGCACCGCCTACCATCATGAGTGTCTTGTCACTCCGTCCCGCTGTGCGGTTGTGATTTGCGGGCAAGACAGTGTCGTCTGGCCCCGCCCCGCCCCGCTTCCCTTTGCCGCGCTAGCGGTTTTGGGTTTTACCCAAAGGTGGAGAGTGGGGTTTGAGCTGGCGGCGGCTGCGCTTGGAGCAGGTGAAGAAGCCTTTTCATTCCGGCTGTTGCTGCTGTTCTCTCTTCAAACGTGGGTCTGGGTCAGGAAAGGATAAGCATTCTTTCTCTGCCGCTAGAGCTCCAGTGAACTAATTGCCCAGAACCTGGGCACTTCATACATTTCATCTCACCCATTATTCCGCGTTCACTGTGTAAATCACCTGCACATTGGTAGCCCTGTGCATGTCCCTCTGCTCAGCGCTCAGGGAAGGGTAGAAAGAGAATTGCAAAGCTTTGAAAGGCAGACAGGGCCTCCGCTGACCGCGGGGAGCTGTCTATGGTGCTGAAGCGTTTGTCTCCACCACTACACGGAGTTAGAGTGCTTATTTTCATTCCAGGCTTTCTCTCCTTCCCCCCATGCCTTGGATAAGACTAATTTCAGGATCGTGACTATCTCTCCATATCATGGCCCACGTGAGACACTTTCGGACATTAGTTTCGGGATTTTATTTCTGGGAAGCAGCACTCTTACTCAGGTGAGTCTGTTTGTATTTAACAGTGGGAGAACTTATTTTTAAAAAGCCTGTGTACTAGAATGCAACCACCTGTTATTGATGAGACTAAGAATGCAATTAGAAATTGACTTGTTGAGAGCACTCCTTAAATCGTATTATTTTATGTCTAAAGTACCTAGTAGTCTATCTATTGAGACCTCTGAAAATATGTAACTTTGCTCTATTTTCTGAAAATAATGCATTTTTAGTAACTGTCGTCTTATATTAGTAACAACTGAGTTTACCCTGGAAAAGTTATTTCCAAAGCCAAGTTATTTCTTCTCAAATTGCTGTTAGAGATTCATTTTTTTTAAAGTAAATTATAAGTTGTGGGTTATTCTCTTTTGGGAAGTTAAAAACATTTATTAATTAGAAATGGAACATTACTAACTTTTAAAAGAAAAACAATTAGAACATAAACATTTACTAACCAGAAAAATTGTGAACATTGTTGATATATCTAGAGATTAAGGTAAGTGAATAAAAAATAAAGGAAGAAATGCTATTCCTAATGAGCTTAGTTTAGGTAATAAATGGAGGCAAAATAAATAAATAATTAGATATGTTATATGTCAAGAATAATCTTCTTGGATAAAGTAATATAATAAAAAATCCATAGAACAATAATATTGCTCTATTACATCACATTTTCTTATCATGTCCAATCATATTTGGTAGGCCTCATTTTTTTCTTTTTAATTATTTTAAAGAGGAAATGAGATTAGGCAAAAGATCAGATAATTTAACCACTATTCTTAACTGAACAATGTATAAGCAATATATTGCTCATATAGATTTTTAAATCATCAATATATATTTCATTTTATTATAATTTCCATCTTATGGCTTACAAGCTTTACAAGAGGATTGAAATAAAAGTAATTAGGATAAGTTTTGTATATACTGATTTCTATTGAAGTAGTAACTATTCTTTTCTGAGTTTCCAGGTCAAAATTTCATCTTTGGACAACTTAGAAAAACATAATGTATTTAATAAAAACTAATTTACAGAAAGCTATATTATTCTGATAAGCCTATAATAATAAGGGCCAGTTGTGAAGGTTATTATATTATGAAATTATTGACTTTTTCTTAAAGTGTTGAACCACTGAAAACCAGAATATTTTCAGTGAGAATATTTTAATAAGACTCAGTAAATTTTTAAACTTTCCAATTGTCACAGATTTTATATATGGTGATCAAAGCAAAGGGTATAGAGCTTTTTTACATTTATGGAACTTTCATGGAAAGGAATTAATGTTATAAGAGAAATCATAATAGCTTAATTAATAGATATTCAGGTTTAGGAAGTTTAACATCAATAATTAAAATATTTTGGTCAATGTGGTCAGATTTGTATAATGGCAATTCACCATATTTGTTATAATACATTCTTTTCTATTTTGTTATAATATATTCTTAGTTATGTATTCTTCATCACTAGAGTCTCTGATTTTTGTTGTTTTAATGAAATTCAAAAAATTGTATTTCAAACTCATAATCATGATTATAAGGACTTATTTTCATTAATATTAAATACTTTAAGTTAAAAATGTTTTTATGAATACTCCAAAAATGTAATTCCTTGAAAAAGACATACCCAATATAGAAGTTTAATCAATATATGTATTCTTCCTCAAGTTTATTTTTCTCCTTTCATAAATTGAATAAGTTTTCTATATATCTTAGACTAGTCTTGAATGAGAATAGCACTTTTTTATTCATTTACCTTCATCATTCTATGAAGAACTTTAATAATATAGAGAAAAATTAAATATTTTTATTTTCAGTGATAGCCCTTGAAAGAAAATTTTCTAAAATAAAGAAAGTGAAGCTCCCTCTACTGAAAATATTTTATAAAATAAGTATTTTTATGGAAGCTGTTCTTTGTTCACTTAGTCTATTTGTGATATGCTGAGCAAAAAAGAAACATGTAAACTTTAAAAAGTAACAAAAATATTTAGTATTAATTCACAAAGATATCTTTTAAATTTAAAAATATTCTTTTCAGGTTGATTTGGAGGCAAAAATATATAGAAACCATCAATATTTATAATTAAACTATGGGCCCAGTCCATGAATTTGTGCATCTTGAAGGGAACTGTGGGCCATGAGGTTATAGTAGGCACAGGGGCAGGTCTTGGCCCATCCTCCCTGCCCTCACCTGACCCCTCCCACCAAGGCCCCCTGATCCCCTGTCTGCTAGCAGCCCCACTCCTGCTGCCGCCACTCCAATGCACTGATGGTGCTGGCCCCACTCAAACCTGCTGACAGCACAAAGCAATTGGGGCCAGTGCTAGCAGTGGGTGTGAGCAAAGACTGCTTCCCTGATCACCCCTCAGGAGCAGGGGGAGGTGGAGAAGCCCTTAGGGGTGATCAGGGCCAGAAGCTGCTGCTTGTACCCACTGATGGCGCCGAGTGATCAGGACCAGTGCCAGGCACTGGCAGCAGGTGTGTGTTCCGGGTGGGACTGTGGCACACAAGAGCAAAAAATTTTCAGTAACTACCAGAGGTTTGCCCCAATGACAGTAATCGATGCATGCCCTGGGCTGGCAACCCACTCACCTGCTCCACCATCCCAACTCAGCCAATGCCTGCCATGTTCCGCACATGCCCCCTGGTGGTCAGCACACGTCATATTGATCAGTTGTTCTGCCATTTGGTCGATTTGCATATTAGCCTTTTATTATCTACTAGAGGCCTGATGAATGAAGATTTGTGCAAGAATGAGACTTCCTTACACTGGCTGCAGGCACAGCCTTCGCTCTGGCCTGAGCTGCCTTTTTGCTTTGGCCAGGAGCTACTTTCTGCCTTCCCACGCTGCCCAGAGGCCTGGAGTGGCTGAGTCAGCCATGGTGATGATGCAAGAATCCCACCCTGCCCCCAGCCGCTTGGTGTCTGCATATGCAAATTAACCTGCCATCTTTGTTGGATTGATTTGCATACTCACTCCTGATTGGCTGGTGGGCATTGCAAAGTAATGGTCAATTTGCATTTTACTCTTTTATTAGTGTAGATATTAATAGTAATAAAAGTATAATATGCTAATTAGACCAGACAGCTGAACAACCTTCCAGACTTCCTTCTGGATAAAGCTGCAGGGGTCGGGCCAAGGTAGAGGGAGTTAGAGGCAATCAGGCAAGCAGGCAAGCAGTGAGGGGTGATCAGGCAGGCAAGTGGTTAGGAGCTAGCAGTCCTGGATTATGAGAGGGATGTATGACTGCCAGTTTAGGCCCTACAGGATCAGGTCTAAACTGGCAGTCAGATATCCCCTGAGGGGTCCTGGATTGTGAGAGGGTGCAGGCCAGGCTGAGGGACCCCCCCAACCCGCATGCACATATTTTGTGTACTGGTCCTCTGATGTAGAATAATTTATGATTACAAACTTTTTTTCATAGGTTGTAAAAGATTTTAAAAAAATATATTTTATTAATTTTTTACAGAGAGGAAGAGAGAGGGATAGAGAGTTAGAAACATCGATGAGAGAGAATCATCGATCAGCTGCCTCTTGCACACCCCCTACTGGGGATGTGCCCACAATCAAGGTACATGCCCTTGACCGGAATCGAATCCGGAACCCTTCAATCCGCAGGCTGACGCTCTATCCACTGAGCCAAACCTGTCTCGGCATAGGTTGTAAAAGATTTTAATTTTTAATTGAGATACAACATACATGCAGAAAAGTATACAAATGACAAGTTCCATATAAAGTTTCAGAAAAGTAACACAGTCATGTAAAGAGACCATGATCAAGATGTAGCATTGCCAATGTATCAAAAGCCCTCACTCTGCTCTCTGTCACCACAGTATTCTTTCCCAGGAACTGCTTTTGCCAAAAATAATTGCTACCTTGACTTTTTCAACAATGAATATGTTTTCCCTGCTTTTGAACATTATATAAATTCTCATGTGTGTCCACTTTATTTTATGAACATTATATTTATGTGATTTTCCATTTAGTTGCATATAGCAATAACTTATTTATTTTCATTTCTATATGGTATTTCATTATATGAAGACATCACTATTTGTTGTTTTTTTAATGGAATACTTAAGTATTTTTTAGGTTTTGGTTAGTGCTGTGATGAACATCTTTGAGCATATCTTTTTGTGAATACATTCATTTTGGGGACCATATGGGTTGGGTCCAAGTCTTTCTCTAGAGCAAAAATTGTTGGATCAAGGGATAGTTTAGTATATATTCTGCCTGGTTTTAGCTTGAGTAGATACTGCAAGTTTTCCAAACTAGTTGCACCTATTTATACTCCTGCCAGCAATGTTTGAGGGTTTTTGTTGCCCTTCCTTACTACTACAAAATATGATCAGTGAAATATTATTTTAAATTTTTAGCATTTTCTTAGGTTATTATTGAGCCCATAGATGATATTTTAGTTATTTTTATCTTGGAATAATTTCTACTTTTTAGTAAATAAGTTTTATTAAGTTGAAGACATCAGAACAAAAATATTTTCTACTATAATGCAACTAGAAGTATTTATTACCAGAATAAGTCTGGTTTAAGAAATGTAATTTTAAAGGAAATTATTAAAAAACATAGTTCTTATAATAAAAATAAATGAGAAGCCTGATTGGTGTGGCTCAGTGGTTGAGTGTTGACCCATGGATGTTCAATTCCCAGTCACGGCACATGCCCAAGTTTCGGACTCGATCCCCAATAGGAGTGTGCAGGAGACAGCCAATTGATGATTCGCTCTCAAGATTGATGTTTCTATCTCTCTCTTCCTCACCTTCCCTCTCTGAAATGAATTGAAACATATTTTAAAAAATAAGTGAGAAAATTATGTAAACAGGCATAAGAAATTCGAATGCCTTATTAGTGAAATTTTTAAAAGTTACACACTTTTCTCAGATATTGCTTAATTTTGGCACAATTCTAGGGGTTTTGGATTCTAGTTTTCATATTAATAAAATAAAGAACAAGACATCAGTGTCCAGCTTTCTTTGAAATGTAGATAAGTGAG